AAACTTTTGGTGTCGATCATTCGATTTCATCCTGGACACTACAGAAAATGGGCTTAAAGTGTAAAAAACCGAACTTCTCCTTTAAGTTTCCGAACTCATTTATTTTGCCAGTGAACTAATTATCTTTTATTTTTCCTTGGAGTTTTTACCAGCAACACCTAAAAAGAAAAGCCTAAAGCGAATCAGGAGGTGTTATTTATTTCTGTGAACCAAATTACAGGTGGTTGGCACTACATTGTCTGATGTTAAACGTTTTATTGGTTCAGTAGGAAACCGTTCATTCTGTTCCTTTCACACAAAGCTGAATCTGGAACAAAGGTCACAGAAGAATGATTTGTATTTAACCGGTGTTGGTTTTTGTTTGCTTCTATTGGGGTGATAGGACACACTAAAAGCTTTGTTCATTTTGTTTTCATTTTTATTCATCATACAATATATTATGAGGCTTTTATACCATGAGCTGCTCTTAGCTCTATGAGAATTGGTGAATTAATTAAATCTCTCACTGAATGTGAGAGCAGTTTGTGATTGACTTGCTAAATTGAGATACAATTATCCTTAATAAATAACATATCACTCAGCTTTTCAGCCACCTGTGCACACACACAATCACAGAAAAAGCATATTTAGTCATTTATATGTAAATTCTTTGTAATTATTGCTAATTTCATCATGAAATGTTGCAGGTGTCTTGCCAGCTTAGCAAATTTAATGTTGTTTTCATTTCACATTTTTAATCATATCTATCAGAGAGGTTTTTGCTCTTGCCCTTTTACTCAGTTTTTTTTATTTCCTTCAAAGTTGCACCTCTAATTTCTGACCTTTTTCTTGTCCCTGCCAGTTTAAGTGTTGTGGGGCTGAGGATTTTAAAGACTGGAATGTCAACATGTACCACAACTGTCCTGGAATAGGTCCACAAGCCTGTGGAGTCCCACATACCTGCTGTGTTACTACCAAGGTAGGGCTCACACAATTAAGCAACTCATAGTAAGCATGCAAACATCGGTTTATAATTGTACAATTTTCCATATAAAAAACAAGATTCTTAAGGAAGGAAAATAGAAATTCTTATGCATTTCATAATACCACAAATGATTAATGCAGGCTTTACCATTTCATTAGTTTATATATATATTAGTGCTGTCAATCGATTAAATTTTTTTAATCGCGATTAA